CACCGCAGCTGTCACAACGGTCTTTCTCAACGCCAACAACGTGCCCGTCCTGCCTTGGCCACCAAGATCCCCAGACATGTCTCATAGAACCCTTGTGGGACCATCTTGGACGTCGGATTCGACAACTGCCACACCCTCCCGTTGACGAGAAATGCACTGGTTCAGGCACTGCAGAGAGAATGGCGTCAGATCCCCAATCACGTGATCAGAAGACTTACACACTCGGCCCGACGACGTGTTCTGTCATGTATCGACGCTAGGGGTGGACATACGCGGTATTGACAGTCTGCATTCCAATTTCAACCTCTGTGTTTTTGTGATTTGCCGCTTTGGCTTGTGCTCGAATACTGTACAATCGACCCCCTTGTGATAACATTGACTCTACAGCTGTTCTATTTAACATGTTCTTTTTACTTCTGTCACACATGCTTTACATATAGTCCATGAGCCAGACCCCAAAATTTTATGAAGCTGTACCACATGGGGTGACGAAATCTCAGTATGATTTTTTGAAAGTCATATATCCATTGGTGAAAAATCTTAAAAAGCAATCCGGGACTCACAGCCTAGTGGTAGTAATCACCATATAAAGGGGGGTCCCAGAGTCGAAACCACGGGACTAGATTTAAGGGTAGGGGAAACCAGAAAGTGAAATAACTTTACAAGCAATAGTCATATGGTGTGGTATGACCACTCAAAATGTTAAGAACCTGATGATCTACATGTTGGTATGTAATATAGGACTAATACAGTAAACATGTACGCCACCAGAGGTCAAAAGGTCACAACATTTGACCTCTGCTTAAAATATTACCACCTGTCAGAAAATAAACTGCACATACCACTACGATGGGACTTTCTTAACCCAAAAGGGCTATGATTGAAGCCAAGAAGTACTTAAGTCCGTTAAAAGTCTGAAAAAACGAAATTTATTATCTTTGTGGTGTGGTAAAGAACGGTTTTGATGCATTTAAGAAAAATGTCGTTTTGCGCTAAAAGCATACAAGATTTGTTTGAAGTTGGCCTTCCTGAAATATGTCATTATGTTGTGATAAAAAGGTTTGCTCATAGTCATGCCCTATATGTATTCAGATGATGGTAAAGTTACATTTTGATGTAATTTGGTTATCACTTATCCAAGAAGAATGCCATCTAGTACCATATATGAACTCGGTTTAAACCTGAATATATTACAAAATATAACCCTTTGAGTGAGAATGAGAAGGGACCTTTATTCTGCAAAAGTAAAGAAAAACTTAATGTTTTGTACTAAAGTTGAATTTTGAGACAATGACTGCTCGCTTTCAATGGCCTGTCCTCATGAGAACAAGAACAGGGATGTGAGCATAGAATCTCTTTTTCTATTGCAAAACAGTTGCTAATATTTAACTCTACTTAACTTATGGGAAAGTTTAAATGATCAAATACACATTTTCCAAGTCACATTACCAGTAGTAAACATTCTTAAAAAGGAATCCAAACAGTGTTGTCTGCTTTTCAAGAGAGATAACTTTCATCTATCGTTTTTCAAAAGGGAGCAGTTAATGTTTTTGAAGTCGCTGCTGAAGGACATTTCCATCGCTCTTGCTATACACTAAGCCTGGAAAGACGCCACAAGCCAAATCTAGTGCTGCTGCAGCTTCCACAGACTCTGTTCCGTGCGACCTTGACCAAACAAATACTGAAATTGAAGAGTATCCATATGATACCTGATGAAAAAAGCAAACCTTCGGATTTTCCTTACAAACATTGACTGAGCTAGTCAAAGAAAACCAGAAGTTGAAGGAACAGCTCCTAGCTGCCAAGCAGGACACTTCTCATTTTGATACAATGATGATGAATGTATTTGTTATGCTTAGAAATGAAGTCAAGGGATAAGATGTTACAATGTCAACAGAAATGAAAAATGCATCTGCCTACAAATTCCCAAAACATTGCGAGAAGGAATATCCTGTGGGTATACTGATATGGTGTTTGATGTTTATCAAGAAGAATCAAACAAAAATGCAGAGAGAGCCAACAGAGGATCCCAGCATGGCATACCATTTGGGACCCTTGCACCCGAACATTGGGTCATACAGTGAATGTCCTCGTGAACCTAGAGAACAAGGCACACCTGATTTAAGTACTTGTTACTGGCTGGAGTGAAGATGAACGGAGAAGCAGACTTGCATAAGACTAACGGTGGAGCCAGTCAACAATGTTAAAGCCCTCAGATGTAGCCAAGAAGAGGCAGACACCAGACTCCTCCTTCATGCGAAGTGCTGTACTGATTCTGGCTTTACTGCAGTTGTGATTGTGTCTGATACGATACGTATGTCCTTATTATTGACTTGGCATTACCATCACAGCTACCATCCTCAATTTACATGAAGGGTGGAACCAGGACATGAAATGAATATGTTGACGTCCAGAAAGTTGCTGACACGCAAGGCCTTGACAAATCTGCAGGCCTTCTGGGACTGCATGTGTTTACAAGGTGATTGCCTAAAAGTCGGGCCAAGAAAAGTCGTGCCGGGCCGGGCCAGCGGGTAATACTTAAAATGGATTGCAGAATATTAAAACGAAACGTGCATATCAAGGCAGATCGCAAATGTCCACAAACGTATAGGTTTGCTCATTTAATTGAGTTTGAATCAAAATGCATCTTCAACAATGTAATAAACTGATCATTATGACTACATACCGCGAGTCCTCGCAGAAAAGTGTCTTGACTGTGCGTTTTCTTTGATGAGAAAGTTTCTCACCGACCTTAGCGTGTAGGGGTGTGATGTCCAGGGCAGGAAACGACAGTGTTTTGACTACTCTTCTTTCAGTAATTAATGTGTTGGGCATCCCTAATTAACCTTTACTAATTCATGTTATACCAACACAGGATGTTTTCTGGAAGTGTATATTCGCGAATGTCATAGGGCTGACACGACACGTGTTAAGAAATGTCCTAGCACTTCTAAAGTTCCTAACATTCTTTATATCTAAAGACTAGTATTATTTATAGAACAACCCACGAGGTACGAGTGATTACGGAAATTATGTCACGAGTGAAATTAATGTTTTAAGTTCCGAGCTTTAGCGAGGAACTTAAAACATTAATTTCACGAGTGACATAATTTCCGTAATTTTCCGTAATCACTCGTACCGAGTGGGTAATTCTATTTATTACCCATATTCATATTAAAGACATGTTTCAAGAAAAAACAAAAACAACTGTCGCCGATTAAGAATCAACTGTTTTGTATCACTCCGCGTATGAAAAAACACTGTCCAATCATTCCAACGGCATTACTCAATTAAAGTGTTGTTACGCATGAAAAATATAGTTCTGTTAAAAAATTGTAAAGATCCGATATTGCAGTTATATTTCTGTCCGATTTACACAGCGTACACTATCTAGCATTGATAAAGAAGACAGGTTTCCAAAAAGGTTCATCAGGTTTTTTAATCAAAGCTTGTTTTGACAAGATCTCGTCACTGACGTTACAGCCCCCGTCGTGCATCGGCAGAAACATGCATTTTACATTGAGAAGAGGAAACACGGAAAACTGTCAATTTTTTAATGTGTCATTTGACAAAAATGCCAAAACCTATAACAACAACATAGACGGAATGTACAGAAGTCCTGTTTGTTAGAGAAAAGTTGCGAAAAGAAGGTAAACTTTGAAAAGTACGATTGCTGTCACAGTGTCTGAATGAATGACCCGAATTGACCCAGATGAGACAGCCGAAACCAGGAATGACAAGAGAACCGGCGTTACAGTTTAATCCGGACAACAAGTTTAATGAACATCGTGTGTGATTTGAGTCAAGTGTCACTGATGGGAAACATGTGCATGTGGGATTTCAGGAGGATTTGTCAAACGTGGAGTGGACACAGTCAGATGACGGGAGTTTGTTGATATTTTGATGTGATTCATAATGGTCGAATACCTGTTGATAGACAAACACGGTATCTGGAGACTTGGTGCTAAGCTGTCCGCATTCACGGAGTTCATTTACTTCAATATCGGACACAGGATCAGCTCGCTGGGGTAAGTTTTCTTTTCCTTGTATTTTTAATTATTTTTGCTTTGATTTCAAAACCTCCGAGTTCAGCAAAGTGCATCGATTTTGCAACCAGATGCTGGTAAACACGTCGCTAAGGTAACACTCTATGCTACCCTTGATCTCCTTCAAAGTAGACAGTTCGAATTCTGAACTGTCTGATGTGCATGCCGAAATGATAAATTTGCAAATAATAATGTTTAGTTGAACCTGTCCTGTGTCATTAACCCTCGTAGTCATATGGTCCCCGGACGTCAGTCAGCCTGCATACCACTCAGCGCCGTACTGTGCAGACGTCGCGGTGACAAAAAACGTATACATTGTATAAAAAGTGTCACGTTCTTATTTCTTCACACAATGTTACAAAATTGTACGAAATAGTGTATCTTTATGATGTCTTTCGGAAAGTCTAAATGTTGTTGCAAAATGAATTTGTTTTTATGCTCATGCCATCGTTGAAAGTGTGAGTAGTCATATTTTTCGTGTTTTTCTTACCTGTATACATTTGTGAACAAAGTTCATGTCAACTTGTCAAGTTTAGTCTTTTTCATTGTGTTTTCATTTTCATTGGCAGTTATCGATGTCATCATCGTTCACAAAGGCAAACCTGTCTATACAAAGTCCGGTTTTTGGATTCGGGTGTTCGAAAAATTCATCAAACAGCAAGCCCTCTATGCCTAACACAGACGCAAACCAGGGCCCGAGGTTATAAAAAAAATTTCGTGCTCAACTCAGTTTCGTGCTCAAATACATGCTCATGCTCAACTTCGTACTCAGTTGAGATTTGTACTCAAGCAGAGGTTATAAAACATCTTGAGTCTGTACTCAGCTGAGAACAACTCACGCTCGGCTTGAGCATGCTCAAAGGACTCTTTGTTTATGACATAAGCGGCAATTTGGAACTCTTCCGTCGAGAATGGTAAGAAAACAACCCGGATGTTGTCGTCTGCTTATTTACAATGGCAACGGAGGGCGTGACCGAATCGCGAAGGCGGGGTAATGGGTGGTCAGAGGCGGAGGAGGTTTGTCTCATCCAGGAAGTCGTTCAGCGAGAGCAACTGTTGTTCGGCGAAATAAAGGGAAGCGGTGTGAAGTCCATCCATCGACAGCGGACCGATGGATGGCAACGCATCACGTATATCCTCAACACGTAAGTTGTTCATATGTTATTGTTGCTTAATATCATTTGCAGCATGGTACGCTATATCATCGCGGTGGTTAAGTTATAAATACGTCTTGCGCAAAGTGTTCATTCAACTTTTATGACACAGGATTGATCGATGCTGATTTTTTCAATGTGTTCGGTAAAACAAAGTTAACCTGTCATAAGCGAGTAAAAAAGTAAGGGGGGGGGGGGGGGGGGGGGGCTGTGTCTAAGGTCAAGGTCAAGGGACATCCTCCAAACAGTTTTAGTGGATTCTTTTCAAACCAATATCGAGTGGAGGTTGGGGTAATTAAGTTATAAAGTTCTCAGGCGTAGGCGTGACATATCGCAACGAGTCCTGTATTCGATCATGCGTTGAAATGTGGTGCCCATGCAGATTTGCACAAGTAAACAGTCGAAAATGTGATTCTTCGTTGCATTAACTTTATTGTATATACCGGTAATCTAAATGGAGACATGTATTTTCATTTTCTCCACAATTCCTTGACTGTGAAGAAGAAAACATGTTCTGTATATTAATTTTCAAATAATATCTCTTCTTTTATATACTTTCAGAAGACACATCAATGCCAAAAGGGAGGCTATTGAAGTGAAGAAGAAGTACTTCAATTTGAAACAAAGAGGTACTCTTTTATATTAGAAAAATACTAAGAGGCATCTTGTATCAACATTGTTACTCCATCATAATGTATTAAATGGTTATTATATAATTGATGAAACACATGTTTATCCCTCAATAACACATGAACACATGTCAATGAAACCCAAATTTAATATTTCAATATATATGTTATTGTTACTGAACTAAACTGCATATTTGTATTGTAGCTAAAAGCAAGATCGACGGCCTCAAAAGGTCAATGGCCACAACTGGAGGAGGGCCTCCACTCCCAGCACTGTCCAACGCGGACGAGGTCCTTTGTCAGTCTTTGGAGGGGAGGCCAGGTATTCATGGCCTAGAACATGGCATTGACACTGATGGTATGGGCAGTTCAATATGTAAAAGATTAATGTAAATTTTAAAGCCAACTATTTCTCATTTATGTTGGTTATGGTGAGACCTATCACCTGGGACAATGTATTTGGATGACAAAAATACTTATCAAAAATAGTACAAACAAATCAAGTACTGTCAAAAGACAAAGGAAACAACAACAAAAATTTCAGACACCAACTTTTTTATGCCTGTGATCAAAGTAATGAATACATTTGTTGTGAATTGCACTGGTACAAAATCATTCAAATAATGATTAATATTTGTCAGATAATCAAATTAATCACTCATCACAATTTCAGTCACAAATGCAATTGTTTTTGTCAATTGTAACCCGAAAATTATTAAAATAGCTGCATTACTGTATTTTAATATTCTGTTCACTTCAGTCATTCATGATGGCGATGTAGCTGCCGCTTCACCAGAAGGTAATACATGTCATCATATGTCTGAACATTATTAACATGTATTATTATACATAATCACATCTATAACATGGGACATGTATCTAATTACTCTGTGGGTTGTCTCCCTTATATAGGTCATGTCTTGAACATAATACCAAAATTTCCAACATGTATTGTAGAGCATAGTTTGCTATTCCTGTCATAACATTATTGTCTGAGCTGACACATTGTATACAATCAATGTAATTATTCTCAATTAATAACATTAAAGTATAACTTTATTTTGTGACTTTATTGAATTCTTAAATATATAAATGTCTGAAAATGATACAATAATTTTTTGCATTTTTTCAATGTTAAAAATTGTATCCCCTTATTTACAGGTCTGCAAGGTGAAGCACATCACATTGATGAGCAAAACAACCCAGCAGAAGGTACATCAGAAGGATCTGAGTAATATCTGTAGAACATATTACTCTACTAAATAATGAACATTTTCAGAGTTTATTTCAGTATATTCAAGATTAATATCAAATTTATGTTTGTATAATCCTTCTATAATACTAGTATAATACTAGTATAATACTACTACTAATAAACCATGACCTTTGTATGATTTATTGAAAGCATAGAAATGAAAACACTCATAGCAAGATGCTAATACATGTATTACCCCAAACAATACATTCACTGTCTTGTCACAAGCTGAAAATACTAAGAGACTGGAAATATATTCGAATTATATTTCAGTCACACTAACACTCATAGTGCTATCAACAATACTAAACTCCCAAAGATGACGCAGAGTACACAAGTCAGTCTCATTATATTCACTGTCTTGTCACACTAACACTCATAATGCTATCAACAATACTATACTCCCAAAGATGACGCAGAGTACACAAGTCAGTCTCATTATATTTACACACAAAAAGACCGGGCGCAAACGAAAAAGAACACAAGCTGAGGCAACATATGACAACACGATACAGGACACGGAAAGGATCAAACTTGAACAAAGGAAGCTGAAACTGGAAATTGAATTATTAGAAAAAAATCAAAAGAAATTAGACATTGAAATTCAAATGCTGCAGAGGAAATCAGTCTACTACCAACTAAAAATGAATGCGGAATTTGGTGTTTCTCTTGTCGAATCATGTCCAACTGAAGAATAATTATTATCAAAATTACTAAAGTTAAGTAGAAATGCAATATGAATGACAACAACATTTACTGATTTGCTTGGACATGATCAGTTGAATTTGACAGATAAAATAGTTAATGATAATTCAAAGAAATATTGTTACACAATATCAACTCTGTCTGTATTGTTTTATCACTATTCATTACATATGCAATTGCTCCAAAAATCCTGATTTTTTGTTATGTGCTCTTAAGTAAGATCATTTTAAAGCAGCTAACTCTAACATTGTGATGATAATTCAGCATTTATGCATGTATGATGTGCCATCAGAAAGACCTAAATATAGAATATCTAGTGATCATGACTTTACTTATAGTTTGTGCAATTTGTGGAGACCTAGATGATGAATACCATGCATTTTTCATTTGTCCAGCTGATACTAACATTAGGTCCAGATATTTGTCCTTCATACAGACTATTATGAATATCCTAACATGCATAAGTTCTGTATCTTTACTCACAACAAATGACAACATTTTATTCCAGCTAACTCTTTATCTTGTTCAAATTTAGAAATTATGAAACAAATATGAATTGAATTGCTCTCTCACAATGTGCAATGTTAGAAATTTGAACTAGTCCTGCAGTTCGTGCCAAAGTGTCCAATTGTCAATGTATGAAAGAACTTGTAGACGTTTGACATTTTTCAGGTTTTTGCTTTATGTTATCATTGTAAGGACTTGTTGACTAACAATGGTAGTTTCTACCGTAGTATGTGCTTTATATTATAAAATTTTCCCACTTTACTTGCCGTAAAAAGCCAACAAACGGAATCATTATTATAGTATTTGGCCTAAATCTGTAACGGTAAAAAACTTCATCCACATCTAAATCTTCCAGCGGGTTAGAACGATCTCGAAAGACTCTCGGAACACGGGTGTTCCGCCTCGCTTGTCGCGTCTGTCGCAGGTGAGCTGCCATTGTTGTTGTCGAACTCAGCGTTGAGCACGGTCCAAAGCGTACTTGAGATCATACTGATTTCATGCTCAAGTTGAGCACGAAAACGTACTCAGATTATTTATAACCTCCGTTTATTGAGTCTGAGTTTTGACTTGAGCACGAAACCGGATTTGAGCATGAAATCGTACTCAGGGACGTTTTATAACCTCGGGGCCAGGACTTGGTGGTGATGATCTTGGCGCCCTAGAAACAGTTTCTGGCAACAGCACAATCTGAATCTTGGAACTTCAATCTGGCCATATCCAGTTTTGACAACAAAGACATTAAATGTGTTCAGAGGTTGAATTATACGAATAACTTTTCATGTCAGTCAGATCTCCGTCCGCTTAACGAGGTCATTTACAGATCTCAAATGGCCAGCCATGTTTGTTTACAAACGGGGACGTAGTTTTGGTTTTTACTTACAGTAAAAATCATGTGAAATAAATGAAACAATTGATAATGTGAAATCATGTTGTTAATATGAAACTATGTGTCTTGTCTTAAAAATCTCGAGTCAGTGAGATTGTAGCACGTAAAACATCTGAAGGGAAAGGCGTGGATTTGTGAATGAATGGGATGAGAAAAGAATAGTTCCGTTGTCCAATGAAAATTGATCTTTGTTTTACTGACCAATCAGCTTCGAGAATCACTAATTGCACACTGTGCAAATATAAAAAAGTTATTACACTGAATATTTGAGCCCATTTGGGTAATAAATCTAATTATAAATCACTTTCAATACATCTTAGACTGGTGAGCCGTCTGCTCGATGATAACCAGCCTACTCATATTTTTACCCTGTTCCCCATTGTTGGAAAGTGTGTCGTCTGCTACCCCAGCTGGAGCCATCTGGTAACAATTAATCACAAGCTGTCAATATACAATACATTATAATACATCAAGATGGCAGTTTCAAAGTAACGATTAAGTATTTCTAAGCAACTGAAAGATATGTACTATATCTAGGTATATGTATCTTTATTTTGCTTAGAAATACTTAATCTTTACATGAAAACTGTCATCTTGATGTATTGTTCTGTTTTCCATATTGACAGCTGGTGATACAGCCGTGATTGAAAAGCGTGAGTTCAGCACACCCTTGTGGCCTTATGTGACGTGACAATGAACAGTTTTTAATGCCTTTGTACAACGACAACATGTGACTATCGGACTCCAAAATTTCATATTTGTATCTGTGATATTAAATTAAATATATCGACTTTATTAGGTTCAATTAATTAACTTACAAATCTACCTATTGCGCATCGAGCGATTATCTCCTTCAGCTGTATGCGTAGTATAGAGCTTTATCACGCGTGACCTTGCAATGCTGTACATCGTATCTTATTCAAGCTGTATCACTTAGAGTGAGTGATTATCTCCCTTACCCGAATAGCTCTTTTGCGACATACCTGTGCAATGTATCGTATGTTATTCAGGCAGCCAGCGAGAATGGTTCCAGAGGGAATTATGGTCAAGCATGTAACGCGCACTCAGTCGTTCTCCCTTCGCACTGCTATTGCAAATTATTGCTCAACACGATTAAATACTAGGCTTCTATGAAGCATGACTTTGTTCAATAAACAACACATGTAAAACAACGGGTTTGATATCAGATATTTGTAATAAGTTGTCTTCAAAATCACATGTATGGTGCTTGCTGTGCAGATTTGAGCACAGTTTCAAGTAGTTCACTGTGTGTAAAATATGATTCATACCGTTTCATATGGCGGTTTATGGTTCTGCATGGTTTATTGTATTGACAAATGTTTTAACTTCCTGCAGAGATTATACACCCGTATAAGACATCTGCTTTTGGATACATTGAAAATCAATATGTTGGCCCTTAGTTTGCAATTATTCTCCTGAAAAATAATTCGGTTGCATGATATATTCACGATGTTTGGCTTGAACATAGTGACATCCTTCTGAAACATACTTCAAATTTAAGCCGGAAGTAATCACAACACAAACCCAGTTAACCAAACGGAACCGTACACAAGAGTAGTGAGTGAGTGAGTTGGGTTTAACGCCGCTTTGAATAGTATAATTCCAGTTATATCACGGCGTGTCAGCTTGATGTGGAAGGAAAGCTCGAAGTGATGCAGGTAATAGACGTTCACCACTTTGGTGAAACCCATCAGCACAGGCATAGTGCTGACAACATAATCGGGGCGAACCAGGATTCGAACACACTGTCATAGGTTTCTGGCGTGGAAGAGGAAATGTTTCAGCCCTCAGGCTCCTTTTCAGCACAAGGACACTTATTGAGAAGTGAATTGCGGTTCAACCTGTTTTGCGCAAAGAAAAAGGAAGCTGAATCCTGGCAGCTTCCTCCTTGCGCCTCGTCACCGCAGAACCATTGCAGGAGGGACAATTAACAAGTATGGTAAGGAGCATGGAGGCTTTTCCTGTTGGTCATGGTTGAAGGAGGAGGGTGGGGCCTTGGTTATTGCCGGGGGGTGGGGGGGGGGGGGGTGGGGGGGGGGGGGGGGGGTGCACAACGGAGAGCTGTACCTGCCTTCAGTATAACACGAAATAAACATACCTTTGCTAATTACAGACATGTAGCAATCAGCAAGTTAAGGACGAGGTTGAATTTGAAGCGAGTGATGTTGATGATGGTCCAGATGATGAGTAATCAACAGTGTACAATGAAGACTCGGTCTACAATAATGAAGACTTAAGTTTCTAACATAATGTGATAAAATAGTTGTAGTGTCTTATTGTGTGATCTTATCAAATATTAATATTCATTATGCAACAGATAACTGCATTTTATGTTATTGCGGTTAGCATATCCAATTTGACCCCTATTTGACCTTCTGTTTAATCTTGTGAGCCAAAACAACAGAACAATGTATCTTCAAAACAACTTCTGACTACATCTAGCACAAGGCCTTTATAATTTGGAGTTGAGAGTTATAAATTCATGTGAACTTATTTCAAGCAGCCCAACCTCATACAATTTTACATCTTTTTAGCGAATGAAGACATTCGTTTTAAGATGTACCAAAATCCGTTCTGTACCACATCATAAAAGAAACTAAAGTTACTTTTATCAGACTATAAACAGACTTAGGTACTGCTTGGCTTCAATCATAAACCATTTGGGTTAAGAGAGGCCCACTGGTGTGGCATCTGCAATATATTTTCGGGTAGGTGATGATATCTTAAGCAGAGGTCAAATGTTGTGACCTTTTGACCTCTGGTGACCTACACTTTTACTGTATTAGTCCTATAGTACATACCAATATGTAGAGCATCAGGTTACCAACATTTTGAGTGGTCATACTTCACCACATGACTATTGCTTGTAAAGTTATTCCACTTTCTGGTTTCCCCTACCCTTAAACCTAGTCCCGTGGATTCAACTC